TCCAACATACCAGATAATTTATTCATAGGCTAGCTAAATGAAGTGAAAATCACAGCAGTATTACTCTGTTTCTTTCTGGTCAAATGCAATGTCAACATGTTCATTTTATTATGGTTTATTGCAAAGCAAGTCTAAAGCCTAAACCAAGCCCCATTGAAGGCGTTCAGTCCCCCCTGAAAATTAGGGAATGGTTGAAACACACCAAGAACACAAGATGAGTACCTCCTGTAGATGCTAGTATACACTGCACTTTAATAATGGTGGTGTCCCAAATGTATTTGTTCTCATATGTGCCCCACTCATTGTGATCCCCATGACACACAACTGTGTAAGGATTAGATTACATTAGGTCAGGTCATTTTGGAACACATATACATGAATCTGAGCACATGAACTGCTTTGAATATCCCTGACCACATGGATGAGGACAATTGCTATGTGCAGCCTTATAGCTGGGCTGGACAAATCCCAGGAGCCAGGTAACCAATGTATCTGTAAAAAATAAGTCAAGGCAACTGGACTTGCTGTATTTTTCTTGAAGACGTTTCACTGGTAACCAATGCTCATTAGAAATGACTGATGTTAGCTAACCTTTGAGCTTTTCTTTCTTTGGTGGAGTTGTCTCCTGAAAATAAAACATGCTGTCTCCTGTACTGGACAGACTAGCTTCTAAACTCCATATTCATTTGTCCATCCCTTTATTAGGTTAGTATTTAGATGTTAAACTTCGATGTGTCATTTACTAGGCTGATTTTTTTCCACCCACATGATGAATAATGGACTGAGAACTCACAAAAAAGCCACACTCAGAGTCAAGTATATCAGAAGAATACACTTTCACATCTTGTAAAATGATGTGTATTAAGTGGAACATTCCGGGGTAGTCAGCTCATGCCACAGTAATGTGACTTATTTATGATGCAATGATACTCTAATTATAGTTTTCCTCCATTGTGCTTGGTTTCCCATCATTGTGCACGGTCAACATGTAAATGATAAAGCAGAACTCCAAGAAAACATAAATAGCCATATTTAAGGGCCTGTTAACACCAGTTCACTGCTGTAATGCACACATTACACATGTTGGTGCAATGTCAGTCGTCCTGAACGACACCCCAACATGTGGTAATTCACTACCAGGCATTGTGTTGTGCTGCCAAAATGCTGCAGGAATGATTTTTGTTGTGGTGAATTAGGTAGCCCATTTAAATGAACTGGCTCTCTTAACACAACACATATTAACGTGTGTGTGTTAAACGCACCACAGTGGACCAGGCTGACATGAATGGGCACTAAGCCTAGCATCCTGATGCTTTGTGTTAATACATGTGCATTAACTTATGTTTTTGCGCGCATTAACATGCATTGTCTTAAGGTAGCCCATACAAATGAATGAAACACATCAAAACATCCACAATAATCTACCTTTTTTTGCAAGACTAATTGTGCATTCATTCAACATTTAAATCCTGCTTAATCACCTTGAATCTATCATTATATTAAAAATCATCTACATACTACAAGGCAGGCTTGAAGTGGGAATGCCACCACTGTGAGTTAATCAGGGTCTAGTGCACTGCACAGTGCTCACATTGTAAAGAGGACCTGTACTGTGGAAGCTGTGCAGGCAGAGAACAAGGGACGAGTCACCAGTATTGCCTGGGGTCTCCCTGAAGCTGATCTTTTCTGTATTACAGGCTTACTATGTATTGATCTGCACTTTGTCTCTGTGTGGATGTGGCCATCTTAGTAACGGAATAGGGCTTTGCTTTCCAGTGTCAGAGATGCTCCTCTAATGACTGGTGATTTTAAAGCAGAACTCTGGGCAGTATTTTTATTAACCCTTGCAGTGGGGCTACCCCCTGCTCCTTTGTGTCTAGGTTATACTCACCCAATCCTCGGAGATGGCCTGCTCTTAGACCAGTCCCTGGACCCTCTCTTCCCAACGGCAGCAGTGGTCTACGGTACCGCTAATCATGTTTTATACACAGTGAGTGGAATTTATCAAAACTGGATCAGACAAAATTTGGAGCAGCTGTGCATGACAACCAATCAGCTTCTCTCTTCAGTTTGTTCAGTTAAGATGTGAAAATAAAAGAGAGAAGCTGATTGGTTGCCGTGCACAGCTGCTCCAGTTTTGATAAATTCTCTTCAGTATATAGATGTGAGGACGCTGAGGAACATTTCCCTACTGCAGCGTAGGAGGAGACAGGCCTCAGTGATTGGAGAAGCACGGAGCTGGCTCAGCAGTTTGGATGAGTATAACTTTTGTTTTTGCACCTAGACAAAAATGAGCAGTTAACCCTTGCAGTGCGGGGGTAGCCCTAATGCAAGGGTTAAGAACACTTTTGCCTAATGATAATGATCAAGAAACAAAAGTTAAGCATCATTCACACAGCTAGAAGTCGGCCCGTACAAATCCGTGCGGCATGCACGGCCATATCGGGTCGTTCCCGGAAAGGACAGGTGCTGCGTGTGATTGTACACAGCAGCCTGTTCTTCCATATGGGAGGACGCGGCCATGCGCCGCCGTACGCTCACCCGAGTTGCACATCCATGCGGGTGTCCGTGCTCGGACGCAGATAGGATCCATCCTGTCTGCGTCCGAGTACGGACACCTGCACGGATGTGCAGCTCGGATGAGCGTAGGACCGCGTCCTCGATAGAGAAGAACAGGCTGCTGCATACAATCACAAGCATCACCTGTCCTTCCCGGGAATGGCCCGATACGGCCGTACACGGCGCACGGATCTGTACGGGCCGACTCCAAGCTGTGTGAATGAGGCCTAAAGATGGTGAAAATGCTGATCTACTGAATAGATGAAGCAGAGAGATGCTTGTCTGCCGGTCTTCAGTTACAGCTTACTTTCCAGAAAGCAGATTAATGAGGAACACAGTAAAAGCGTCACCAAATCTCCCTCCACATCTTGCAAGACTAGCTGTCGGCAGCAGCAGTGCTTTAGATGATCTCACTCTGCAGATATACAACTATGAGGCCACAGGCACAAGAACTAAATGTAAAAGCAACTCATGCAGGCTGGCCTTCTCTCATCCAATTTCCAAACAGGTGGATTAAATCGCTGCAACATCTCACAATTATACGTTGGGGGATTAAATTGTGTTTTTAATAGCACATCTCAAATTATTAAGATAAATGGCAGTTCATGGGTGATCACATGACTGATTACAAGTGGCAGCTAGATGATCACATGACCAACATCTCTGTTTGCTTTTCTGTATCCTTTAGTGGTCATATATGGTCAGTTGAGCTTTGTGGGTAGACCCTAAAGCATTCTGACAGCATGCTTATAACATTTGCAGAAACACGTCTAAAACAGGAAAAAAAATAAAGTTTCCGTATTGCTCATAGTAGCCAATGAGATTCCATGTGACACTCATCTAGCGCAGTTTAGAAACAAAAAGCAAGGCCCAACACCCACAGTCCCCATAAATGATAACAACCTGACAAATAACTGAGTTATGTGGCCATATAAAGAAATGAGGCCACGGGCCAAGTACTTCTCACTTTAGAAGAGCCACAAACTGACATGATTAAATACAAACATTTCACATTATATTCATAGCAACACAGTCCCTTCACAACTCTGAAGTGGCGATATATTTATAACAGAAGACATCGCTGCCATTCCAGATATAACTACATGGCACAGTTTTCACACCACAAATGGACATTTGTAACCCACGACAGACCAGAAATGAAAATGCCTGCAAACAAAGAAGAGCCTGTGCTGTTTATATCTAGCTAATCAAATTCTCCCAGTCACACTTTGTTGGTCAAGTGGGTGCATGAAATGGAGAACCAAATTGGTTGCTACGGGCAACAAAGACAGTTTAACGCAAGGCTGGACACATGCAAGGAGCCAGGTCGCCAATGCTCCTTAAGAATTACAGCTGGTACCCAACTTTTGAGTTTTTCTCTAGCTGTTGTCGATGGAGATGACTCCAAAATACAATCCTGCTGGCTCCTGGATTGGACAGACTGGCTCCTGAATTCCAGGCTAGATATGAATTTGTCCACCCCTGCTTTAATGCATGAGGCCTTCAATACTACAGATATTAAATCTCTAATGACAGATATAATAGTACACAGCCCAAGCATATTTATGGCACACAATAAACTCTAATTGAAATGTGCTGCATTATCCATCCAATTGAAAAAAGGAAATCTGATATGTATTAGCAGTAAGTCTCTTTGATTTCTAGGAAAGAAAGAACAATGTGCTGAAAATACCAACCAATATTTAAACTGCTATTTTACACATTTAGGAGGCATGCCCTATAAATTCTTCTATGAAATGAAAAAAAGACACTTCAACCGTGGAAAAAATATATTTAACATATATGAAACATTGTTCATTCAACAACAATGGTTTGGTTGTTGAATGTTATTTTGCACTATCTTCAGCTGTTGGCCTTGTTTTGTCTTCAAATAACAAAAATAAACACCTTTCAAAAAAAGAAAAAAAGAAGACATTGATGGTGGGGATTTGCCTTTGATTAAAAATGCAATCTGTGTATTCCCACTATGCACTTTCAATTAGCAGCGTTCAACCCTTGTAACTGCAGTTTTATAACCGCACGCCCAACTAGTGTACCTCACCTGCAGAATGAAATCACTGGGACACAATGGGCAACACTGATGAGGGCACACATTTCTGGGAGCCTATGGACACACGTGCCTTTAAAATGACACCATGGAATCACCCATAGCAGAAGCATAGCCATTTTGTCAGATGATACATTGTGATCAGCACCCTGCTTCATTCGATAGGAGACAACATGCAGGCAAAAAGGAATAAAATGAAGAAGGTGACAACCTGAGCTGGCTTTCAATCATAGGGAATGGAAGCAATGTGTGGGTGAAGGCTCTTTGGCAAGTCTAGGCGGTCATGAAATGGTTAATGGGAGAGGGTGTTAAGGGTGTATCCTAGAGCTGTGTAAATGACTTGATAAATGGGGATCTCTATGATGTTACTCACCAGAGCAGCCTGGGTGATGAGCAGCAGAAGCCCTGCACCATGTATAATTCCAAAGGCAAAATGCATCCTTCTTTTGGCTAGAGATCTCCCTACAAATAAGGCGACTGAAGAGCCCTCCTTTCTCTTGCTTTTCACCCCCGATCACTCTTATTCCTCCATAAGGACAGGCTAGATCCCTTACAGTGACAAATCCTCTCTCCCTCCGTAGCAACCTCCTCCACCTTCTGTCCCTCCCTTGCTGCTCCTTCTTCTTCTTCTCCCCCTCACCCTGCAGCCTCCTACCTTCTCCCTCTTCTCTTCCTCCCTCCTTTTCACCTTCACTATTTAGATCGCTCTCTTCTACCCGCTATCGTTTTCCTCGCTCTCCTCTTACACCCCTCGCTCTTCTCTTTCCCCTTTAGCAGGAAACGTCTCCCCCTCCCTCTCTCTCCCTAGCGATCGATGAGAAGAAGGTACATGTACTAGGAGACGGCGAGGACTAGCGGCAGGGTGGCGCGCCATCTTGTGGACGTTTAGCGGAAGTGCAGGAGAAGGCGACCCTGTGTTATTGCGAGTCATTATTCATCATGATACAATACCTGTCCCTCACTAGGTTGACCTCATCCCCAGGATATAAAGGATCGTATTCCTCAAGGGAAACAAGCTGCTTAATCTGGCATTTCATGTTCACTGAGCCTGGGTGCAGTGCAGAAAAGGAATGACAAGAATGGCGAAAGAGAAAGGATATTGGCAGTCTGTTTTCTGTGCATTTTAAAGTGGACCTGTCATATTTATATCAGACAAAATAAGAGAGCTGCAAAGCAAAATAAATAAAGAGAGCTGCAAAGCAAAATAAATAAAGCAGACATCAGTGTTATTGTTAAATCCACTTATAAAATTATCAAGTTATTATATCATTATTATTAGTACAGATATTTTTTTTTGGTACTCGTTGATACCAAAGTCCCATTAAGGAAGCCAGGCGGTATATAATGACCTGCCACCCGGCTTCCTGATTAGCCAGGTGGCAGGTAATGACACGCCGCCCCACTTCCCGATTAGCCAGGAAGCTGGCTCCATGCTTCTCGTTACCAGATTATGAGGAAGCATGGAGCCAGCTTTCTGGCTAATCAGGAAGCAAGGGGGCGGGTAATGACTCACCACTCGGCTTCCTAATTGGCCAGCTTCCTGACCAATCAGGAAGCCGGGCGGGGAGTCATTACATGCTGCCCGGCTTCCTGATTGGCCAGGAAGCCGGATCCATGCTCCCTTGCTCCCAAGGTGACGAGGAAGCATGAAGCCAGCTTTCTAGCCAATTAGGAAGCCAGGGGGCGGGTAATGACTCACCACCCGGCTTCCTGATTGGCCAGCTTCCTGACCAATCAGGAAGCCGGGGAATGAGTCATTACACGCCACCCGGCTTCCTGATTAGCAGGGAAGCCGGCTGCATGCTCTCTCGTCACCAGGTGTCGAGGAAAGCATGAAGCCAGCTTTCTAGCCAATTAGGAAGCCAGAGGGTGGGTAATAACTCACCACCTGGCTTCCTGATTGGTCAGCTTCCCAACCAATCAGGAAGCTGGCCGTCTAGTCATTACCCGAACCCCCCAGTTTCCTGATTGACTGGGAAACCAGCTCCATGCTCGCTGGTGGCTTTCTAGCCAATCAGGAAGCCGGGTGGCGTGTAACGACTCTCCGCCCGGCTTCCCGATACCGGAAGTTCCAGTATCAGGATAGTTTTAGGAACATTTGGGCGAGTACGAGTACTTACCCAAATACTTGGAATCAGGACAGTTGCCGATACTAGTATCGGTATGGGTGCATCCCTAATTATTATTTATTTTATAATTATATATTCTATATTATAATTCTATTTAAAATTGTTATATAATTATTATTCACATATTTTTTGATAAATAATAAGGATTGTTATTAGTTATCATTATCAAGTTATTATTAAATTATTTGCATTTATTATTGCTACTTGTTGCCAGGCAGCCTGGCTTTCTGAACAATCAGAAAGCTGGGCAGCACGTCATGACTCACCTCCTGGCTTCATGATTGGCTAGGAAGCCGACTTCACTTGTCGCTAGGCAGCCTGGTTTCCTGACTAATCAGGAAGCCAGATGACACGTCATGACCCGCTGCCCGGCTTTCAATAGAACACCGGCTTCCCAGGCCCACCACCCAGCTTCCTGATGAGCTGGCCTCACGATATTTCAGGAT